TGTAGCTTTATATCTTTCCTGGATCTCGCTCTGTAGACCAGGCTGGCCTCGAACTCACAGAGATCCGCCTGGCTCTGCCTCCCGAGTGCTGGGATTAATGGCGTGCGCCGCCACCACCGCCCGGCCCTCTTGGGCTTTTAACTCTGCATTTGGCTCTGTGTTTCTTATTTAATAAGACTCACATCTACATACACTGAAATAATAAGTTTTTAAAAATTAAAAGAGGCACCTGTCCCAAACACAAGGTACTTTCTTTTTTCTTTCTCTTTCTCTTTCTTTCTTCCGCTTCCATTCTCCCTTCCCCAACCCCAATACTGAGTCTTCAACCTAAAGCACCCCACATGCTCGGCAAATGTTCCGCCACGAAGCTCTATCCTCAGTCACATTGGAAAATTTCTATCCCCCGACAACCGTGGTCGATAAATATCCGGGTCCAAGGATACCCTGTCGAAGTCCTAAACCCAATGCCGTACAAATAAAACTCAGAGTCTTCCTATATGAAGCCAGCAAAGCTATGGGGGGTTAGTGAAAACAAGCTATAAAGATGAGATTATATGCTTCACTTTAACTTTTTGACACTTACTTGTCTGTTGGTATGCACACAGGACACAGCTCATGCTTCATGATCAGAGGACCAACTGGTGAGAGGGTGAGATCACCTGTGAAAATTGGTTCTCTCCTGCCAACATGTGGGCGGGAGCAAACCCAGGTCGCTGAGCTTGGAGGCAAGCACCCTTTCCTGCTGAGCCAAGCCACTCACCCACAAGGGCTTATTATGGGAGTCAAATTATTCAGTAGCAACAGGCATGTTAATAGGAGATAATTCACTCAGTGCTTTAGCTAGGAAAATACACAAAATAATTTCTAGTGAATATACACAGCTAATCTATGAAGGTATGACATTCATCATTTTCCCTGTAATCAGCAGTGTGATTAGAATGTATGGTATAGGCCTTTAATCCCAGCACTCCAGAGACAGAGCCAGGCAGATCTCTGAGTTTGAGTCCAGCCTGGTCTACAAAGCAAGTTCCAGGACAGCCAGGGCTACACAGAGAAACCCTGTCTCAATATGCCCCTTTTGCCCACCAAAAAAATAGGATCTCTAAGCTGGGAGTGGGCTATACACCTATAAGTCCAGCACTTGGAAGGTAGAGACCAGAGGATCACGAGCTTGAAACCAGCTTAGGATACAGGAGAGGTTTGTTTAAAAACAAACAAACAAAATCAAACAAACATATAGTGGAATACACATACACAGAGTCATATACATATATACATACATACACACATACATATATTGATATATAGTCATATACATACATAAATATATGCAGTTTGTCCAAGTGTATCTTCTTATATGATTATTATGTCCCCACCCACCTTCTCTCCCATCAGTGTCTTGCTATGTTGCAAAGGCTGGCCTTGAACTCACAATCTTTCTGATCCTACTCCCTGTGTCCCAAGATTACAGGCATGCACTGGCATCTCTCTTACGTGATAAACTAATTTAAAAACACTCCTCCCCTGACAGATTTAGAAGAGTCATGAATATGCTAATGTGTTGAATGTGTTTGGTTAACTTCCAAGAAGAGGCTAGAAGGTGTTGGGGTGGAGATGTTCAGGGCAGGGCATGTTGCTGAACTAGAATGCTGTACAGTACAGTTGTAGAGAAGCCACTCTGATAAAATCTGCCCTGCTCTGTGGCGCATGAAAACCATCATACACCTCTGGAGAAGACAGGAATATGAACTAAATAAACTATTAGTTTATAAAAACAGGGGAAAGTTAGCACAACAACTGTTCAGGTGCATAAAGAGTTAGCTAATTAACCAGTTTTCAATGCCCAGGAAAGTTACTCCACAGTTCATCACAAGAGATGAACTAAAACCAATTAAGTTCCCAGTCTGCTTGGCTAGCTAGCAGAGCAAGGTCTTCAGCTGCCACAAGAATCCATTGCTTTCCTCCTCAAAGGAAATGTGTTTTAAGCCAAACCCTTCCTCATGTGAAGGAGTACATGCTCAGAAATGAAAGAGCATACCAAAAATAATTTATACTGGGTAGTCATTGTGGAAGTAAAATACAAAATCCTTCTTTTAGCCAAAAGTTCCTTAGAAAATGAAAAACCCATCCTTAGCTGGGAAACAAGGGCTTGCTCTTCAGGACCCTAGGCAACTCTCCTACCCAGTTCCTTTGCTTCTGTATCCATTGTAGGAAGGACTCCATCCCGAGCTACTTTAGGCTGGCATCATTTGGAGCATAAGACCTAGTGAGATGTGTTCTTCAAATGGGGAAGGGGGTAGAATCCGACCGTAATACTAGAGCAGCGGCGAGCAGTACACTGCTCTCTGCTTCTCTGAGTCATGCTTAGTCGTCGTCATCCCCCCCCCCCCCACACACACACCGCCGCTTTAAAATTGTGCAAGCCAATGCCAGAGTCACAGGCTGGAATCCAGACGTGGAAGATCTCCATGTTGCCACCGCTGCCCTGGTTTACAGCACTAGGTGAGGACATGGTGGGAGAGGGCCAGAGCATTGAATGAACGTGTGTGAGGAATGATGGAACATTTCAGTCTTTTGAATCCTCTCCTCATACTAGATCAGCCAAGATGGAACAAAATGGTGCTAGATAAAGATGCTTAGACACAGAAAATCACATGTGGGGGTGATACTGTGGGTTACTACAGATGTCAGCAGGGGACAAGTGAGGAGGACCAGGGGAAGAGGGAATGAGAGGCGCATTCACCGAAGTCAAGGTTGTATGAAGAACCCTTATGGAAACCAATTGCTTTGTATGCTAATTAAGAACACATGTTTTTTTTAAAAAGGACCTTGAACACAGGTTCCCTGCATTTCTGTACCATATTTTCCATTAGAATGCATAGATTGCTAGATGAAAATCTCAGCACCAGGCATGGAATATTTCTCTATGAGTTATTAGTCAGGAGTTATTAGTCAGGAAGGCCCCCCGCAAGGGCCCCTAAAGGAACATGGGTTATTGACATTGCTCTTAGCTGTCCCCTATAGATAGATAGCAAGTGTGATTGCTGAAGACACAATACACTTGGTTTGCAGGACATAGAGAAATCAAGCTGGAACTAAGGAGAAAAGTTATCATTGCACTTACCCAGTGGTAGAATCTGCATGCTGTAATACCAATCTACTAAGCATGATGTGCCTACTGGGGCAACAGTAGCCTGACTGGTGTGGGGGTAACCACTGGTTTCTAATTGGATGGTTTGTCAACTTAGGAGGATTCTCCTGCCTTTGTGGCCAGAGTGCTGGGACTACAGGTATGTGACACTATGCCCTACAGATTTGACTCTTTCTGAGGGAACGGAAGACACAGGGGGAAACTTAGAAATGGAAATTAAAGGGAAAAAAAAAATCAATCAATGAATGCTCCCTGAAGATGCCAGAGCAGACAGAAGAGAGTGAGCCCAGAGTCGATCAATCGATCGATTGTACCTTCATCCCTGCTGCTGCTGCAGGTCCACTGGGGTCCACAGCCTGGATGTGGCATGGTTTACTTCCTCGCACCACAAAGCCCCAGCCAACCGCATCGCCGACAATCTAGAGAGGAAAACCACAATTAGCAAAGAGCAGACTGTCCCTGGCAATCTGCCTGTCTTCCCAAGAGAGTGAAGTCTGACCCCATATTAACTACGTGTCTTGACATATCTTTTTTCTTCCTTTCATCTCTAGTGTGTCGGGGGAATGAAAATGTAGTGGAGACACGTAACCTGTTTGTGTTGGGGAGGTCACTCCCCAGGAAACCGCTGGCAGCCAATTTCATATCACACCCCAGTCGAGGTCTGAGAAGACCGTAAAGACATCGCTACACTTTCTCTCTAGATTCAATCTCTACCTCAACACGATCTTTCTTTCATAGCCGAATGATAGACTTTGACCCAGCTACATCGAAGTCTAGAAGAACATCTTCAACTACTAACGGCAGGGAGACAGAAGAGTCTTGGCCTCTTTTCAAAGGCAGTTTGCAGTACCGAGAAAAACAAGTGAGAAAGAAGATCAAGTTCACAGTTTACAAACACACTCTGGTCCAAACATTGTTTGGCACCAAAGCATACTTTTTCCTACCGAATCAGAACCGGCAGGTAGGTTCCCTGGATGGCTCCAGGGGCATCCTTAGCACATATGCCACCCGAAACACCCTCCCAGTCAAGGGTTAGTGATGCTGACTCCTAAACAAAAAGAAAACGAATGCTCTTAAAACATCCACTTCTCAACAGCTGGAGACTGGGCAAAAGCAAGAGGGCGAGTGGGAAATCAGATGGAAAAATTTAAGACTATCAGGCACTTCTGCGGTTTTAGGATTCACGGCAATGAATTTAATATGTCTAGTTTCTCTTTTAAATGTACAGTGTGCCTTTTTGATACAGACATAACAGCCCTTCCTTCTTATGTTAACTCCCCCGGGCTCAGCCTGGGAGGGGTCCTCAGCAACGTTCTGGGGTGTGAATGAACGTGTGGGAAAACGTTCTCTTCTTTGAGGTTAATAACGAAAGTTGGGAAACAGAGGAAGAGAGAGGAGATGTTCTTCAAGTTTACTGATATGGACGCTGCAGGCTGAGAGCAGAAAGCAAGTGGAATAGGGGAGATGGTACCGATAAGATCACGTGAACAGGCCTGGGGATGTCTCTTAGTTGGTAGACTACTTGCCTAGCATGCAAGAGGCTCTGGGTTTGAGCCCCCCACTGCATGAACCCAATGTGGACTGCAGTCCTGGTATACTTCAGAGGCGGAGGCAGGAGGGTCAGAAATTCAAAGTCATCCCGGGCTACACATAGTTTGAGGTTATGTGAAATCCTTCAGAAAAATAACTTAGATTCCATTTGAATAAAATCAACAGGGTCTGGGGACGGCAGGAAGAAGGTTGTGGGAACACCAAGAAAGGGAGAGTCCTCAGCTACAGGAGACTACACAGGGCTCCGCAGTCACGTGGCTACACACCTCAACACACACTGGCATTTACCCTACTGTTTCCTTTCTCCTCCTTAGAATAATCCTAACATCTTAGTGATTTTTAGAATTAACTGTAATGAAGAAGAAATTTTTTGTATTGTCATCTGTCTTAAAAGTACTTAATTACAAGCCCGGCAGTGGTGGCGCACGCCTTTAATCCCAGCACTCAGGAGGCAGAGGCAGGCGGATCTCTGTGAGTTCGAGGCCAGCCTGGGCTACCAAGTGAGTTCCAGGAAAGGCGCAAAGCTACACAGAGAAACCCTGTCTTGAAAAACCAAAAAAAAAAAAAAAAAAAGTACTTAATTACATTAGAATCAGTGCATAGTAGATACTTAAAAGGACACGTCAAAAAGATCTTAAAATGTCACTAACAAATCAAGGGAGGTCTGAATGCATTTCACTGTATTAGAATACAGAAAGACTACTATTATAACCAAGTAAAAAACAAAATGTGCAGATGGGCGTGGCAACACACATATTTATCCCAACACTTAGGATTCAAAGGCAGGAGGATCCCTGTGAGATCAAGGCCAGCCTGGTCTACATAGTGAGTTCCAGACCATCCAGGGCTACATAAGGAGACCATGTCTCAAAATAAATAAATAAATAAATAAATAAATAAATAAATAAATAAAAATAAAAATAAAAGGGAGGGGAATTAGAGAAAAGTGTTCAGTTTGGTCCCTAAGCCACACACTGACAGGTGGGCGTGCACAGGAACGGGACTTACCGTGAATGTCTTCCTTGCATACGGAGCTCCAGGAGTCAAGAGTTCCTCAGAAGTGACGGGTCTCTTCAGCACTGGGAAACAGACAGAGTGTCAGAGAATGGACAGCTCCTGAGTCCTTCTCCTAGTCCTTCCATGAATGCCTCCTCCCGACTGCTAACCAGTAAGAGTGGCAACGACCTCCACCTCACGTTTATCCTCTAGCTGAGCAGACAGGAAATACCAGCAAAGAGTATTTGAAACCTGCCTTCTGAACCACGGGGATGCAGGGAGGTTGAGAACGTGAAAGAAAAGAAACCAAGATGCCTTGGAAGAAGACAAAGAGAGGAATGGAGTTTTCCTAGAAAAGAAAAGGGTATCTATGCTTCCAGTTCTTCCAGCTCTTTCTTCCCAGTCCTTATATGTATCTAGATATGTCAAAACGCCAGCAGTCCATTGGCCATACTGCAGATACTGGCTCCATCCAACTCCCTGTCCCCAACATACTGCATGCACACACCTCACTTACTAAGCTTCATTCTTTCTTCTAATAAATAACCTGGGAACATAAGGATGCTGCATCGAGCTCTAAGGGGCCAGACCAGGAGTACTCTCCCTGAGCTGGGCTACTTCCCTGCATCCTGTCAAATCCATTATTCATTTAATCTCTACCTGAACTAACGATCTAAAGCAGCGGTTCTCAACTTGTGGGTCCCGTCCCCTCTGGGGACGGAACCACCTTCACAGAGGTGACCTAAGAGCAGCTGCATGTCAGATATTTTACATTACAGTTCCTAACAGTAGCAAAACACAGTGATGAAGTCCCAATGAAAATAATTTTGTGGTTGGGGGTCACTACAACATGAGGAACTGTGTTAAAGGGTCGCAGCATTAGCAGGGTTGAGAACCACTGTTCTGAAGAGTCTGGCTCATCTGGGCCACTGAATCAGTCCCCACAGTCAGTATGTGCTAGGCCAGCCAGCCCCCATGGCGGCAGCTCAAGGACGGAGCCTGGGACTTGTCCAGGCCTGTCTCAAAATGGTAACTGTAACCCCCAACCAGTAAATCCAGAGGTTACATACTCTCACCCAATCATATGATGCCAAGGCTTGTACCACCCTGTTTGTGGTTTTTCTCTTTAAAAACCCCACCCCCTGAGAGCTCAGAGCTGTCCTCCTTCACCTGGCTAGCCAGTGTGTTGGACGCCGACCAAGTCCGGGTTTGCTTGCTATCAATAAACCCCTGTGTGTTTTGTATGTGGGGTGGGGAAAGAGTCTGGCTCATCACTGGACTAATCTAATTTTTTAAACCTGTTTTTATTTATTCATTAATTCATTCATTCGTTTATTAATTTATTTATTTATAGGCAGGGTCTTGCTTACATGCTATGCAGTCCAGACAGCCTCAGGTTCACGGCAATCCTGTCTGAGCCTCTAGCGTTGGGATTGAAGCTGTAGATCCCTACGCTTGCTTCATTTGACAGTGAAATTAGATATAATAAACTCATAGTAGAAAACCCTAAAACCACAGAAGTGCCTGATGGTCTTAAGGCTTCAAGATAGAATAGAAAAATCCTAAAATCACCGAAGTAAGTGCCTGGTGGTCTCAAAGCTTAAAGATATCATACTTGGTATTTAAGCTTTTAAAATTTTCTTTCTTTTTTGCCATTAGTTTTATAGGTGAGAAAACCGATTCAGAAAAGTTAATGTGTGCGTGTCCAAGACGCTGTCGTAAAGCATGGGTAGTAGAATTAGGATCCAATTCAGGCATGGGTGCCAGGGCCCGTGTTCTCAGCAACTGTCACGCTGTCCTCCTGGGCTATGCTGTCTCAGAAATTCCACAAGAGAACAGTCTGGAGGGCTGTCTGTTCTCAGCTCACTGATGTTGTCTACCAAGGCAACCGAGACAGCTGCACGAAATCCCCCTAGTGATGAACATCGCCGTCCATCCTCCACTAATGAATTGCTCTGTCTTGTCTTTGATCATTTGGAATGGGAGAGGGGCTGTCCTAGCCTTCCAGGGTAGCTAGTGGGCATAGGGCACAGGAAACGTCCAAACATGGGTACATGCACAGCAGAGATTTAAGTGCCACAAAATATGGAAGGAGCCAGGGCCAGGGTCCAGTCTGGAGAAGCTCCCGCCTCCAGTTCTCTTTGCTCGTGGCATTCATTCATTCAGAGGTCAAACACTGGCCCCCAACAAGTGTGCAGCCAGCTGCAAGGGCCAGGCCTGCATGATCCCCCAGGCAGCTGGGCCCACTTGCCGAGTGAGCCCCAGGCTTAAGAAGCACTCTCCTAGAGAAGAGCCAAGAACTGCTTCTTGTGAAGGGGACAGGTGGTTGGGATGACTATTTCTGCTTTTCAGAACGCTTTGAACATGAATCAATGTTTGCTAAGGATGAGGGACCAGGTCAAATATCAAGATGAGAAATGAATGTCTCAGGAGACAGAGAGGAGGTAGGAAAAGCAGAGAGTGTATGGGGGTTGAGATCTTATTGCTTAGCAGACGAGCTCCTCTCCAGGCCTGTGACTCCTCAGGGGGTTATGAAAATTAATGACATTTTTGGCAGCAGGGCCGGCCGTTTATTTTAATGTTCTTTTTCTTGGGTTGAGAAACAGAATCTTTGAGACCCAGGGAATTATCCTGCAGATTTCCCTCTTACCACCATGACACAGATTATGGCAACAGCTACAGCTTTGTTCTTTTGGGAGAGTGTCGAGGTCAGATACTTATATCTACTACTATATTATTCTGATATATAGAGATGGCTAATATGTTTATTTATCAGAGAGTGTGTGTGCCTGTGAAAGAGTGAGTGAGAGAGAGAGAGAGACAGACAGACAGACAGACAGACAGACAGACAGACAGAGATAGACACACACAGAGGCTACGAGGTCAGAAAAATTTGTGGCATTGGTTCTTTCCTTGAATGTTTACATAGGTTCTGAGGGTTCTGGGGATTGAACTCAGGTTGTCAGGGTTGTATGGCAAGCACTTTTATGTTTTAAGCCATCTCGCCCTTATGATGGTTCAAAGTCCTCATGGAGGCTGATGAATAGGTTTTGAAACTGTAAGACACCAATGAATTCCAAGGGGCAGGCTTCTATATACCCACCCTTCTTCCTTATGAGTGTTAGGCACTGAGCACAGAGGTACAAGACAGTAATCCCAGCATCCAGCAGGGAGACTGTAGCAAGTTCAGGGCCAGCCTGGGCTACATAATGAATTCCAGACATGACAGGACTACATAGCAAAACCCTGTCTCCACAAACACACAAACAAATGAAGAAAGAGAAAGGAAGGGAGGGAGGGAGGGAGGGAGGGAGGACGGGAGGGAGGAAGGAAGGAAGGAAGGAAGGAAGGAAGGAAGGAAGGAAGGAAGGAAGGAAGGAAGGAAGGAAAAAAAAAAAACCACACACACACAAGGTCCATATAGATCTTTCCTTGCCATTGTCTGGGAAAGCAGTTCTTTCTCTGCTGCATTTGCTAGTGGCTGAGGCCCTTTTGAGAGTCAAGGAACTCCTCTCAGCTGCTGATCCCAGTTCCTGGGAGTGCTGGTGTTGGGCAGTCCCCAGCTGACTTTGAGAGCCATCTCTCTGAAGGCAGCATCTTGAGCAAAGTCATGCCTTCCTTTCGGGGGCACCAACGTTGAGTAACTGGTCAACAAGAAAGTGTCTGGCCTGGCTCTCTCCGAGCCACTCTGTGTACTTTATAGGGCATCCTGGTGCAGGACTGCATTACGGGTCAACAGTAGCCTCCCGTGAGGCTTCATCTCAGCCCCACGTGCTATTCTGTCCCAGCCATTCAACCGGTGTTGACTCCAGGACGCTTTCGTAAGGTGCCTGCTCCCCTGATCTCTGTTTCCCAAGGAACTCAGCATGCACAGGGGCCCAAGCCTCCACAGACAGGGGCACGGTCACCCTGCTTTCACTCACCGGACTTGGGGTTGCAGAGCACAGGGGGGCTGCTGCTGAGCGTTGGGCTGCTGCTGAAGTAACCGCTGCTGCCGCAGCTGCTCATGCTGCTCCTCCGCACGGCAGACACGATCTTGATCTCTTTGCTGGGGCTGACTGCAGAGGGGAAGCAAACAGAGTCACTGAGCAGGGCGGGCCTCAGGACCCGGAACTCCTGGGCATCCAGTGCAAAGTAAGAACTGGGACGTCCAGGTCTGCCCACATAGTCACCGAGAGCACAAATCAGGCCATTCCCTTTGGTGGTCTGGACTGTAAAATGAAATAATAGTATTCCATGGGATGGGTGTGAGGAAGAGATCATATAATGTGCATGAACATCCTTCTCTCTCCCCCTCTCTTTCTTTTCAAAATAGGGCTCATTGTGGAGCCCAGCCTAGTCTTAACCATTCGAGTCCTAGAATTATAGGGCACACCACTGTGCCTAGTTTACAAGATATTTCATCTTAGGGTATTTGAATGTATATGTACATATTCATGTGTATGTTGTATGTACATATGTATTCTTGCATGTAGAGGTCAGAGGTCAATATCCAGAGTTTTCCCCACTTATTCTCCATCTTACGGTTTAAGACATGGGTTTCTCTCACTGAACCTGGAGCTTGATGAAGAAGAGGCTAGATTGACTGATCAGGTCCAGTTACCCTGTCTCTGCCTCCCTAGCACTGGGATTATAGACACATGACAACACACCTTTTTATTTTATTTTTTTCTTAATCTTAATGGACCTTTTATCTGAGTGCTGCCAATCTAAACACAGGTCATCATGGTTGAGTGTTCAGCAGTTTACCAACTGGGTAAATCTGGGCCTTCTCCCCAGCTCCTACAGGACAGGAATTCAAGAACTACCAAACCCAAGCTTTCCCTCCTTAGGTCTACATCCAATGCCTCTGACGTACATGATCCATACTACACAGGGGTAGCAAATGGCTCCTGATGTAATGACAGCCAGAAATCATTTGGAAGCATGGTAGACAACGCTTAAAATGGCGCATACTGAGGCTTTCAAGCTGTTATGTGAGACAGAGTCTTCAGTTTTCAGATTCTGTTCTGCATTCCACCACGCAGGCTGGCTCTGAAGGTCTGGAAGTGAGGGAAAGTATGGAGGCTGCCCTGGCTGCTCCCTGGCCCGTGGGAAGAAAATAAACAAGCAAACGACTAACACTGGCTTCCCAGGAATGTGTTTCTCTAGTCTCCTCTTATCATCTCTACTGCACCTTTTCAAGAAGCAGGTAAGCCTTTGTCCAAAGGAAGGAGGAATCGCTACTCGGCACCTGCCGACGTCTGCGGAGACTCCGTCTCCAAATGACCTTGGAGCACAGGCTTGGGCTGCTGACCTGCAACTGGTTTTGATTTTCTACTGAGCAGCTCTTGCTTCATTTTCAGTTTGAGCCCTGGCCATGCCTGAGGACTTTGGGATCCAAGGGACTCAGAAGAGGGCAGGATAAAGTAGAGCTGCAGAGACGAAGCTATGTCTACCGCTTGGAAAACACTCTAGTGCTCTGGGCTGTGTCCTTCATCTGTGAAATGAGGGTGGGAGCAATCACTTCCTTAGGGTTAGAGGAAGAACTGAGTGAGAAAATTCATGCAGCCAAGCCCGGGGCACAGAAATGTCTCCATTCACAGGGGTACGTCTCCCCATCGTCACTTCCTGTTCATAAGTAAGACACGATGAATCCAGTTTGTGGTGATGAATCCAGTTTGTGCTAAGCTAAGCTTATTTTCCTTTTCCTTCCTTCTTTCCTTCCCACTTCCTTCCGCTCCTTTTCCATTCGCTCTTTTCCTCTCTTTCTTTTAAGGCAGAATCTCAAGAAGTTATGTATCCAAGCCTGACCTTGAGTTCGTGCCTCCATTCCCAATAACTGGGATTCCAAACTAGTGTCCCATGCCCATCCAGTGCTTCTGAACTTTAAGTCACCAAGTTCCTTGAATCAATGCCAAGTTTTCAGAAGAGTTGGCGTTCCTCTTAAACATCTCACACTTCTGTAGGTGGTGTGTGTGTGTGTGTGTGTGTGTGTGTGTGTGTGTGTGTGAGAGAGAGAGAGAGAGAGAGAGAGAGAGAGAGAGAGAGAGAGAGAGAGAGAGAAAGAGAATGTATGTGAGCTCACAAGTGCGTGTTTATTTTTAACACAAGGTCTCATATAACCCAAGTGGATGTCAAATACTGTAGTGGAACATGACTGATTTTTCTAATCCTCCTGCCTCCACCTCCTGAGTTCTAGAACATACAGGCATGCAACACCACACACCTCGGTGGTGCTAGGGATTAAACCCCGGGCTTACCTGACATAAAGCTGGTAGATTTCCGATTGTCATGGCTCTGCTTCCTCAGGCAGAAGGGACTGTCATGTGTCTCCTGGGAGGACGGGGACTTTTCATTGAGCAGTTCCATCAGTCTTCGCCTCCGGCGGAAGTTCATTCTGAATTGGTAGAGGAGATTGCTGTCCACAAATGGGTGCTTGTTGGAGACTGGGGAGAAGAAACAACCCATGAGGAATGTGTGGCATGCTGGTCAGAGAGCGATACAGCCAGAAGACTCCAGCCAACAGGGGCAAAAGTCCCAAGAAAGAGACTACACAAAGGCCACGTCCGTGCACTTGGACGGTGCCCACACACAGTCCCAAATTCTTCTCACATGACATGCACTAGCAGAGTGGAGTAGCCAGCTCTTCTGTGACACAGTCCCAGACTGCAGCCCCTACCTGAGTTCTCTTCACAGTGTCCTGCTGGCTCCAGGGTCCCCTCCATCTGATCACTCACCTCACTGTCCGACCTTTATTGTTCACGTCCCTATTTTTCTACCTAATACGAGGCATCTCTGGGAGATGACCACAGCTTCATGTAATCACGTGTGTCCAGCATCCAGTGTGTGTCTGCTCCATACCAACACTTCAATTCTTTTTTTTTTTTTTTTTT